TCAACAACGGCAGGAAGTCACTGATGACAGGGGGAGCAACTCAACGCTGATAGGCTATCGCGCCGGGGCGTAACGCGAATATTTTGGCGAAGTTGAAAAATTTGCGTTTGGGGCGATGGACGCGCTGCGCCATCGCAAATTCGCGCCGCGCCAGTCTCATCGCATCTGTGCATAGACTTTTTATGTAATCTACTCGCGCGAATAATTCGCGCCGCGTTTGGTGTGAACGCAGCATAACTCTCTGTACTGGTTGTTGAGAGAACCATTGATTCACAGGGCCAAGCTTGACATCAGCAGCAGCGTCACCCCTGGCCTGATTGGGGCGCTGCGAAAATCCAGAACCCTGTGCCTGCAGCAGCTGGTGGACGCAGTGGGGCTGACGCTGAGCGACGCCCCGGCCCTGGGCTCTCTGCTGGGTCTGCATTCTGTCCGGGTGGCCAAGGGGCTCCTGGAGTGGTGGAGCCAGTGGCTGACAGGGAAAGAGAGGAGCCTCCTCACGAACTACAGCCAAAGAAAAGTCGAGCTGGACCCTACAGACCCTTTCCCTGAGATCTCCCTGAGCCCGGGGCTAGGGGAACTCACCGGCCCCCTGCTTGCTACAACACGCCCAGAAAAGCTAACACTATACAAGGCGGACATGAAGACCTTGTATTTTAACTGTGTAAAGGGAACAAACAAGAGAGGACTGTGCAACAGGCTCCCCACTGTGTGGTCAGACAGACTGGGACAAAACGGACCTGGCCCACAGTGGAGGATCTTATATAGACCTCCCCTCAAAAAACGGACTGCCGACCTCCAGTGGAGGATCCAGTGAGAGTCTCAGAGAGAGTCTTGGAGAGAGTCTCAGAATAAGACGAGAGTCTCAGAGAGAGAGATGAGAGTCTCAGACAGAGTCTCGGAGAGAGAGACGAGAGTCTCGGAGAGAGTCTCAGAGAGAGATGCGAGTATCAGAGAGAGACGAGAGTCTCGGAGAGAGTCTCAGAGAGAGAGATGAGAGTCTCAGACAGAGTCTCGGAGAGAGAGACGAGAGTCTCGGAGAGAGTCTCAGAGAGAGATGCGAGTATCAGAGAGAGAAGAGAGTCTCGGAGAGAGATGCGAGTATCAGAGAGAGAAGAGCAGAGTGAGAGACGAGAGTCTCAGAGAGAGTCTCAGGGTGAGAGACGAGAGTCTCAGAGTGAGAGAGAGAGAGTCTCTTTATGTCTAAAAGGATCCTTCATCCATCAGCAGCTCGTTTGTTTGTCCCTAAATGAAGAGCTCCATCAGGAGGAAGTCATTATGAGGGACGACAATTAAGCACAAGGACGCAGGAGACGGCCTTGTGACGCACACACACAAACTCACACACACAAACTCATACACACACAAACTCACACGCACACACACAATCACACACTGTCGTGACCTTCAGAGTCACTTTGCTTCCTAATGGAGGACAAACTGAATCAAACCTGTGAGTGTTAAGCTTCAGATTCATCAGAGTTCTTTATTTCAGTTGATCAGCTGAGTCAGGATCAGTTCACTCGTCAGCAAGCAGCGAGACTTATGTTCTCTCTTTCCTTTACTGTCCTGTTTTCTCTTTCCTTTACTACATCTGTCCTGTGTTCTCTCCTTCCTTTACTACATCTGTCCTATGTTCTCTCTTTCCTTTACTACATCTGTCCTGTGTTCTCTCTTTCCTTTACTACATGTGTTCTATGTTCTCTCTTTCCTTTACTACATCTGTCCTGTGTTATCTCCTTCCATTACTACATCCGTCCTGTGTTCTCTTTCCTTTACTACATCTGTCCTGTGTTCTCTCCTTCCTTTACTACATCTGTCCTGTGTTCTCTTTCCTTTACTACGTCTGTCCAGTGTTCTCTCCTTCCTTTACTACATCTGTCCTGTGTTCTCTTTCCTTTACTACGGCTGTCCAGTGTTCTCTCCTTCCTTTACTACATCTGCCCTGTGTTCTCTTTCCTTTACTACATCTGTCCTGTCTTCTCTTTCCTTTACTACATCTGTCCTGTGTTCTCTTTCCTTTACTACATCTGTCCTGTGTTCTCTCTTTCCTTTACTACATCTCTCCCTTCTCTCTCCCCCTCCTTCCTCCTTCCTTTCTCCCTTCTCTCTTTTCACTACATTATTCTGATGTCTCTCTATGTTGTGTTCTCGGTCAGAGCTTTCATTCTGGTACCTGTGTGTGTAATTGCCGTGTAGTTTCTACCCACTGAGTGTCTAACTGCTTTATAATGTCAGTTTGTCAGTCAGAGAGTCAGTGAGGAGACAAGAGAGGAGAGGAAACAAGGACACTGAAGATGGATGTTGATGGTTGACTGACAGATAATAGACACACACACACACTCACACACTCTGAGGCTCTGTTGTTTGTGTGTGATTTATTTCCCAGGATTCCTTTCACATCATTATGTCGTCGTGTGAGTCTCTGGAGTCACTTTGTGGACATTTTGACCGACAGTCTCTAAAGTAAACATGGCACACAATGACCTCTGGGATTTATTCACACAACAGGAAGTAAACGATAACAGGTGGAGAACAGGAAGTAAACGATAACAGGTGGAGAACAGGA